ACCCCCTAGTGTGGTCCCGTCTGGTGTTGTACACAGTGTGGTATTGTGTACCCCCCTAGTGTGGTCCCGTCTGGTGTTGTACACAGTGTGGTCTTGTGTACCCCCCTAATGTGGTCCCGTCTGGTGTTGTACACAGTGTGGTCTTGTGTACTCCCCTAGTGTGGTCCCGTCTGGTCTTTTGTACCCCCTAGTGTGGTCCTGTCTGGTGTTGTGTACCCCCTAGTGTGGTCCCGTCTGGCCTTGTGTACCCCCCTAGTGTGGTCCCGTCTGGTGTTGTGTACCCCCTAGTGTGGACCCGTCTGGTGTTGTGTACCCCCTAGTGTGGTCCCGTCTGGTCTTTTGTACCCCCTAGTGTGGTCCTGTCTGGTGTTGTGTACCCCCCTAGTGTGGTCCCGTCTGGCCTTGTGTACCCCCCTAGTGTGGTCCCGTCTGGTGTTGTGTACCCCTAGTGTGGACCCGTCTGGTGTTGTGTACCCCCTAGTGTGGTCCCGTGTGGTCTTTTGTACCCCCTAGTGTGGTCCTGTCTGGTGTTGTGTACCCCCCTAGTGTGGTCCCGTCTGGTCTTGTGTACCCCCCTAGTGTGGACCCGTCTGGTGTTGTGTACCCCCTAGTGTGGTCCCGTCTGGTCTTGTGTACCCCCCTAGTGTGGACCGTCTGGTGTTGTGTACCCCCTAGTGTGGTCCCGTCTGGCCTTGTGTACCCCCCTAGTGTGGTCCCGTCTGGTGTTGTGTACCCCCTAGTGTGGTCCCGTCTGGTCTTGTGTACCCCCCTAGTGTGGTCCCGTCTGGTCTTGTGTACCCCCCTAGTGTGGACCCGTCTGGTCTTGTGTACCCCCCTAGTGTGGTCCTGTCTGGTGTTGTGTACCCCCTAGTGTGGACCCGTCTGGTGTTGTACACAGTGTGGTCTTGTGTACTCCCCTAGTGTGGTCCCGTCTGGTCTTGTGTACCCCCTAGTGTGGTCCCGTCTGGTCTTGTGTACCCCCTAGTGTGGTCCCGTCTGGGCTTTTGTACCCCCTAGTGTGGTCCCGTCTGGTGTTGTACACAGTGTGGTCTTGTGTACCCCCCTAGTGTGGTCCCGTCTGGTCTTTTGTACCCCCTAGTGTGGTCCCGTCTGGTGTTGTACACAGTGTGGTCTTGTGTACCCCCCTAGTGTGGACCCGTCTGGTCTTGTGTACCCCCCTAGTGTGGTCCCGTCTGGTCTTTTGTACCCCCCTAGTGTGGTCCCGTCTGGTTTTTTGTACCCCCCTAGTGTGGTCCCGTCTGGTCTTGTGTACCCCCCTAGTGTCGTCCTGTCTGGTCTTGTGTACCCCTAGTGTGGTCCCGTCTGGTGTTGTACACAGTGTGGTCTTGTGTACCCCCCTAGTGTGGTCCCGTCTGGTCTTGTGTACCCCCTAGTGTGGTCCCGTCTGGTCTTGTGTACCCCCCTAGTGTGGTCCCGTCTGGTCTTGTGTACCCCCCTAGTGTGGTCCCGTCTGGTCTTGTGTACCCCCCTAGTGTGGTCCCGTCTGGTCTTGTGTACCCCCCTAGTGTGGTCCCGTCTGGTCTTGTGTACCCCCCTAGTGTGGTCCCGTCTGGTCTTGTGTACCCCCCTAGTGTGGTCCCGTCTGGTGTTGTGTACCCCCCTAGTGTGGTCCCGTCTGGTCTTGTGTACCCCCCTAGTGTGGTCCCGTCTGGTCTTGTACACAGTGTGGTCTTGTGTACCCCCTAGTGTGGTCCCGTCTGGTCTTGTGTACCCCCTAGTGTGGTCCTGTCTGGTCTTGTGTACTCCTTAGTGTGGTCCCGTCTGGTGTTGTACATAGTGTGGTCTTGTGTACCCCCCTAGTGTGGTCCCGTCTGGTGTTATATAAAGAGTGGTGTCTTGAGTGAGGATAATTTTGGTCTTGATTGTGGTATGTTGACCAGACCACACACTAAAAGGTGAAGGGACGACGACGTTTCGGTCCGTCACAATCGACTTGAGAACGTTTCGGTCCAGGACGGACCGAAACGTCGTCGTCCCTTCGCCTTCTAGTGTGTGGTCTGGTCAACATACTTTAGCCACGATATTGTGACTCATCACTTGATTGTGGTCAAGACTCACCAGGCTGTGACTCATACGTCAGGCTGCGAGCAGCCGCGTCTAACAGCCTGGTTGATCAGTCCAGCAACCAGGAGGCCTGGTCGACGACCGGGCCGCGGGGACACTAAGCCCCGGAAGCACCTCAAGGTAGCCTCAAGGTAGCCACCACTGAAGGATTAAGAAGGCCACAATTACTCAACATAATTACTCAACACAAATCAGCAATTAGAGCAGTAACAAACACCCGTCCCATACCCTTAATGACCTCTCAACACCCTTAATAAGATGTTGTTGTTGTTGTTTAAGATTTGCTACTTGGAGCAAAAAGTTCCATGCAGCACGGGCTATGGTGAGCCCGTACTTTGAATATATTACATATTCAATCACTGCACATCCTCTCAAGTGCACTTTACATCTATAAAAGTGTGATGCTAATCCTGACCTTAAACGCTTCCTAGAGTGATGCAATTACCACGACACTAGAAACAATTTTTTTTTTGATATTCCAAGAGTGCCACTTAACCATCTTGAGGTTATCTTGAGGTTATCTTGAGATGATTTCGGGGCTTTTTAGTGTCCCCGCGGCCCGGTCCTCGACCAGGCCTCCACCCCCAGGAAGCAGCCCGTGACAGCTGGCTAACACCCAGGTACCTATTTTACTGCTAGGTAACAGGGGCATAGGGTGAAAGAAACTCAGCCCATTGTTTCAGGCCGGCGCCTGGGATCGAACCCAGGACCACAGGATCACAAGTCCCGCGTGCTGTCCGCTCGGCCGACCGGCTCCCTCACGAGATAATGCTCTATAAATCAGGGGCCCCCATGGAAATGACCGCTCAACAATGACATTAAAGACTGTTCGTCTCTCAACCAGTGTACAAGAAAAGTTTAAAATTGGCTAATTCATTGTGACTAACTTTGTGGGGAGCCGGTCGGCCGAGCGGACAGCACGCTGGACTTGTGATCCTGGGTTCGATCCCAGGCGCCGGCGAGAAACAATGGGCAGAGTTTCTTTCACCCTATGCCCCTGTTACCTAGCAGTAAAATAGGTACCTGGGTGTTAGTCAGCTGTCACGGGCTGCTTCCTAGGGGGGTGGAGGCCTGGTCGAGGACCGGGCCGCGGGGATACTAAAAAGCCCCGAAATCATCTCAAGATAACCTCAAGATAACCTTACTCCAACTCACTCACCTCCTACTAGCTGCAGAGGTCTTGCTGTTATTGAGATCATTAATAACTAACGTGTCAACATTTAATAACACATTAATAACTGCCGTGTCAACATTTAATAACACATTGTTATCGTTTAATAACACGTTGTTATCGTCTCACTGATCTCTTCTTCAATTTAAAATGACCATGTTTGTCCTGTTGGATAATTTACAGTTTACAAATGCCAGGGTTTTAATGGCCAATCATTTTCTAACTCCAATTTCCTCCCAAGTTATGGCGTTTTGTGAAGTTTGAAGAACTACCCCCATTAAGCCTGTATATATATATATATATATTGTTTCCGTAATGTTTATGTTACGCCAGAAACACTCACCTAGGTGTGTTTGCGGGGGGGGGGGGTTGACCTTCAGCTCTTTGGCCGTGGTTGTCTTACCTATGAATCTTCTCTGTTCATACACAATGGACCAAGGGATGTATACACATTTATCAGTATATATATATATATATATATATATATATATATATGTTTTTCTTATAATATTATACATTTCTTTGCTAAGGTATTCCCAGCCACTGTTGATATTCCTATGATATTTTTCTTATTTTAATGTAAGCTTAAATTGTGGACACTTGGCTAGTTGTAGGGGACCTGCAGGTGAGCAGAGGGTAACCCACAGGTGTCCTGGCCTTCTGCAGGTCTGCTGCAGCTAAGGAACTGGCGACCGCTGCCCCTAGAGCACATCCCAGAGACTGAGGACAAGACGGTGGGTGAGGTTCTGTGCGATGTGGCGCCCCTCGCTACTCTACACGTTCGTATCTACAGGTGGGTCCTCTGTGTGTGTGTGTATCTACAGGTGGGTCCTCTGTGTGTGTGTGTATCTACAGGTGGGTCCTCTGTGTGTGTGTGTATCTACAGGTGGGTCCTCTGTGTGT